CATGCAAGACGGCCCATCGTTCTTTCGTGACGGGCCTGCTTTTAATGCATGTGGATGGACCAAGGCTCAATGGGCCAGAGCTTCTCCAAAAGACATGCACGGTTTATGACACCGTCGTATGCTTTGGACTAGTCCAGCGAGAGGTAGTCCCAAGGTTAACCAAAGGAATCGAATTACGGTAATGATACGGTGAGGGTACCTGGGCCTGCGGGAGGAGTCCGGTCTACTCCTCCTCACGGCCCATTTAAAATCTAAAAATAAATAACAAACGCATTTCTCTTCCTCCTCGCCTTGTTGCGCAGTTTCTTCTCGTTGTCGTAGCCACGATGCCTGCACCGATTGTCGAGGCGGCGCTCTTGGTGGCCTTCCTCTGCGTCCCGTCCCCGCTCCTCTCCATGCTGCTCCCCAGCGCCGCACTCTCTGCCTCCCCCGCGCCCTCCTCCATCCTCCATCTCCACCGCATCCGAGCGTCGGCGACCGCCTTCCTCCCTCTCCACCGCGCTCACCGAGCACCGCGCAAGAGAGGGGGCCGTTGCTGGCCGGGCCTAGGCCAGGCGCAGGAATAGCTGACCGCTGCCAGGTCGCGCCACCATCCTTGGATGTCGGCTGGCCGGAACATACCGTTTCCCGCTCTACTCTGTGTCATCCAGAAGGAGAAGGATGAAAAACGCAAGTTGCAAACGTATGTTTCAAGTGTTTCAAATATTTCATAGGTACATTGCAAGTGTTTCATATGAATGTTACAAAAGTAGATTGAGATGTTTTATATGTTGCAATGGTTGTATATGTATGTTGCAAGCTTCAATTTTCAACGTTTCATCTATTTTTTCAAATACATGTCGCAAGTGTGGTTATCTGAACGTTGCTATGTTTACAATGGTTTTCAAGTGTTTTTCATGTGTTTTTGCAAGTGTTTCAGATGCATGTTTCAAGTGTTTCATCTGTCTTTTTACGTATGTTTCAAATGTTGTTGGATGTTTTTCAAAAGTAGATCGAATGCTGCACATGTTGTAACGTGACCCACCTCGCTGGGCGTGAGGTTATGCAAAATTGTTAGTTGGTCAGGGTGGACAGAGTTGCTAGTTGGCTCGTGTTGGACGAGAATAGCCTGGTGTTACGTGCCTAAGTGTGTAGTGAGGTTTAAATCTGTTCGTTGGTTGATCTTTACACTAAAGTCATAAAAAATAGATGAGCATCCTGTTTTTGAGTCTGGTTACCACTCAATATTTTTTTTATTTTCTATTTCTAACAAAACTCGTGACAAAGTTTTTATCGTCTTCTCGAAGAAAAAAAAAAGCTCACCTCATGGTCCATTGTTGGTAGGCAACACTGAACACGCGAAAAATGAAGGGTTCTTGGTGCCACGGCTACGACGAACTGACGATCACCCATCGGCCATCGCAATCGCAATGGGTTGGCGTTCTCTCCGGAGGCGGTGGTGCTTGGATGCTCGCATGCAGGGATGACCGAATGAATGCATGCCCCGGGCAAAAGTTGGTAACGTTGGATTAGTGCACAAGCAGTTGACCAAGTGCGAAATGCATGGCAGTAAGAACTAATTGGACGCTGACCTGCTACCGATTCAGACTTCCGAGATGGAAATGGAGTGGACAGTAGACAAGCTCGAGACCGAGAGGCATGGGCTCCACTGGTGCGGGCCCCGTTCGCTTCGCTGAAAAAATAAGCCATGTTCCGACTAATTTGTTGTGAGAGAAAAATACTGTTCCGACTGAAAAAATAAGTTGAAAAGTATGGATTATAAGAGAAACGAACAGGCCGCTGCCCACATAAATACTAGTGACTGACCAACCACAGCTCTACAAGTCAACATGTAGATATACTAGGCCCTTTTTTCTTGCTTTCACTTAATAAGACGCTACGCGTACCCTTTACTAAAAGCGATTCTGCTGAGCCCAGGACTAAACAAAGGCCCGGACATCATCCTTAAGTTTTCAAAAAGTTTTTTTAATGTGATTGGTCAACTTATGACCCTAGCCCCTACTATGCTCTTAAAAACAAAATCCCTCGGATCCGTTTCATAAGATATAATTTGAAATGATACATTCTTTCAAATTATACTTTGATCATTCATTTACTTTATACTATCTTGTTTATGCTTATAAACCATTGGATAGTACAATTGCTTATAAATTTAACTGTATAGACTTTGTATTATAGTAGTTTAAAATTGTTATCCAAATTATTGGTCAAAGATTTTAAAGTATTTCGAATCTTATATGCATGTGCGCCTTATAAAGGGAAACCGAGCTAGTACTCTACTTTAGAAAGGAAACACACTCCATGTTGTCACTTCCGGTAATGCACTAACGCTAGCAGTCGGATGTTCGAACGGAGTCTTGAATATCAAATGATGTTATGATAGATTTACCTATCTATTACGTGGCACAACCTCTTTCACATGTTCTTGATTGTCATTTCTCTACATCCTTTACCGTTTACCAATTGCTATCCATTGGCTCCCTCCTCTCTCATGCGTTGCACCTTGTCGCCGTGGACTGCCCCAAGAGAAGCAAGGTCGTGATGGTGTATCTCCCCCACTTCCCTTCTCCATTATTCCTCCGCTCCATGCTCACAAGCTTGGATCTAGTGACTCGTGTAGCATCTCCGTTCTAGATGTCGTCCCTCCATTGCCTTTGCTATGCTCTTCCCCCTTTCCCTCCTGGGCTGCCTTTGCCCCTACATTCCATGCCTGCTAAGCCCCTCTCCCTCGACCCCACAACCTCTACTCCTCCATGTCCAGTAGGCACCGCTGCTGATTGGTGATATGATGTAGGGTGATAGGGATGGTCATAGATCTAGGCCTTCCTAAGCAACAAGGATGACAACCACCAGTGGGCGGTGCGTGCATTCAACCTTACTTTTGCGGACGTGCTCAAGCTTGACCACTTGGGCGAATGTGTGGCGAAGGTGCCGTCAACGATCTTGAAGTAATTGTTTGTACGATGTTGTGTTTATTTGTTTCTTTGTGTTCCAACTAAGACATTATGATGTCTCAATCAGTGAGTTTTGTATGTTGCAATGGATGATCTTAACATCTCCCATGTTAGAAGAAATTTTTTTTGAGATGTTGAAACAAAAACATATTATGATGTTGCAAACATGGTCTTTGTTTTTACATTGCAAGATGTGCTTGTACAATGTTATAATAGCAATTCATAGATGTTGTGGCTGATGTCTTGATTTGTTTCATGAATCTTTTTGCCAGAACACATTGCAATGAGGTAAAAACTAATCATTTTTCTATCGTTCCTAACTTTAGCTTCATTGAGATTATTGTATCATTTTGATATTACAGTAACAAATGTTATTTCTCTACCTCTCCCCTCTCTCTGTTTCTATCGCTCTCGTGCAGCGGTTGTGTGAGGTAGGCATGGCGTGAGGTGGCGCTTCAGCGAGCGTGAATCGTGTTTTTGCTCAAAGGCGGAGCTAGAGCAAATCCGGAGGATGCGCTTGCCATTTTGTGGGTGCAAGTATATGTGACATAGGGGGTGTAAATATGGTAAAAATTTGGTTCTTATCGATATGTATTTTTAAAATTGTACATGTGCACTGTCATACCCAGTGCACTTAATATAGCTCTGACTTGCTGCCAGGTGTTGTGTTGTGAGGAGAGAGGTCCCACGTGTGGCATGTCATTACTGACATGTCATTTTTAGCCGAAATTGCCACCCACCCCCTAAAATTTTAGAAATTATTATCATTCCTATACTTTTATCCATTTTAGGGTTCTATTACATGTCACTGTTCTTTTGGTTACACTTTGAAAAGCTAGACATGCACTCTCTCTGTTCGTAGAAATTGTAATATGGTGAATATTCTAAAAATAATGTCGAATTGTTTGGTGTTGCGGATCTTAACAGGTTTTCTCGACCGCGCGTGAGAATGTCTTCTTCTTAAGCACAGTGCCCAGGGGCTGTCTTACCCCCCGCGGGTCGAGTTTTTTTTTCTTAACATATTTACACAACAAACTTTGATCAAAGTTAAATAAATTTAATTCAGGACAAACTAAAATACTTTGTATTTTAAAAGGTGGATGGAGTAGGTAGAGGAGGTTACAATTGATTAAACTATCAGCCAATTTCTTATCAAAATTGTGTTACGACGTCAAGTTGGAGTGCTTGGACAGCTAGCTTTTTTCCCCCGATGAATGAATTGAACAGCTAGCTTCTTCTTTTTTTCCTTTTATTTCCTGATGACTTGAACAGCTAGCTTTGTGGGACATACATTCACATTGAATGAGCAATAAACAAATGCAATTTCCAGTAACCACACAACGTCGAATTGTTGACCCGTTCAGCCCCTGAGCTGGACAAGATATAAATTCAACATGATGATTATTCAAAGTCTTCACTGAGTAAGTTGTTAAATTTAAATCAACTATCATTTATAGTTTAGCATCTTGTCAGCTATAGTTTACACCCGTGATGATTGACCATTTAAAAAAAAAACAAGACAAAACAAAAAGGCAAGAAGATAGAGTTGATAACTCAGAATGGACGTTTTGACACCTAATAAAAAGTTGTTTAAAATAATCAGAAGGCATCTGGGCCGTCCACCGTAGCGACGGGCGACGGCCCTGATCATCTGATCATCAGCCTCGTTGACTTTCCAACATTTTATTCCGATCGTGCTCCACCTCTCACTCCCAAATGGAATATCATATACTCACGAGAATTACTTCCTGCTCAAGTGAAGGAGAAGGACCCAATGAGACTTAGCCTCACATATGCTCTCCCTGTATAAGATCACAGAAAGATCTTGCAAAGACTCTTTCCAACGCCACCACAATTGCTGCAATTCTCGCAACCTTTCTACCTCTCCACTCATCATAGTCATAGCATAGCACCTGGAACAATTTCATGCGCAAATCTAGATTGATTAGTGGTTGCAATCCCATTGGGTAATTCAATCGAGGCTACCAGTGTGCTAGCTACTAGCACTTGGATTTGCCGGCCGGTGCAAGTTTTCTGATGAAAGCCATGGAGGTGGTGGAGGAAGCCAACCGGGCCGCCGTGGAGAGCTGCAAGAAGCTCGTCGCCGTTCTCTCGCTCTCCGGTGCCGACGCGTTCCGGCCTATGCCCGTGGCCGCGGAGACCGACGAGGCGGTCTCCCGGTTCGGCAAGGTGGTCGCCGTCCTGAGCGACAGGCTCGGCCATGCCAGAGCAAGGGTTGGCAAGAGGAGCCCGCCGGCGCCTCCCGTCGATGCGAGCTGCCTCTTGGAGTACCACCCGTCTCTGGCAGTGGCACCGCGCCACACTCCCAACGCCGGCCACCTGCTGGTCAGTGCTACTTCTCCTCCTCCTCCTCCTCCGCCGCCGCCGCCTCTGACGCCGCCGACGTCGCTGCCAACTAGTATGACGATGCGAAGCGCTGCGGCGCTGATGACGATGAGAAGCCAAGAAGCGGAGGCAGTGGCGCCGGCGGTGCTGCTGCTGCCGCCTTGTGCCAGCAACGTGACATTGATGCCGGCCCCGGCCAAGAAGTTTGACAGGAGCATGTTCCTCGAGACGTCGCTGCTGGAGTTGAACTCTTGCAGCGTGCCTCCCTCGCCGTCGCCGGCCATGGCGGTGCAGAAGAACAGCCCGAGAGTACTCGCGGCTGCTGTCCCCCCGCCCAATCCTTGCACCAGCACCCCTCACATCCAGTTCCAGCCGCCGCAGCAGCAGCAGGCGAAGAAGCAGAAGAGCTTCCAGTTCGACCAGACGCCGAGCGGCGAGCAGTTCCACATCGAGGTCCCGGTGCCGCTGCCGCTGCCCCGTGCCGCCCCCGCCGGCGCCAAGGAGGTGATCAGCTTCAGCTTCGACAACAACTCGGTGTGCACGTCGTCGGCGGCGACGTCCTTCTTCACGTCCATCAGCAGCCAGCTGATCAGCATGTCGGACGCCGCGACGAGCTCCGCCGCCAGGCCCGCCACGGCGAAGAAGGTGTGCGGCAAGGGAGGAGACGGCAGCGGCGTGAGGTGCCATTGCCCGAAGAAAAAGTGAGTGCCAGCCATCTCATCTGCATCCCTCTTACAATGCAATGCAAGGTGCTGTAAGTACGTGGTATTGAATGGCTGGCTAATGGATGATGGAAATCTGTGCAGGAAGCCGAGGGAGAAGAGGGTGGTGAGGGTGCCGGCGATCAGCGACAAGAACGCCGACATCCCGGCGGACAACTACTCTTGGAGGAAGTATGGGCAGAAACCCATCAAAGGCTCTCCTCACCCAAGGTGCGCTGCATCTTGAACATTTCGTTCTCTTCACGCCATTGCTTTATTAGTTGTGTCCATTAAGCTGCCACGCCATCTTGTTTGTGCTACTGCTGCTACACTGCTATTAATTGATCGTTATTCAGAAAAATTGCAGTTTTGTATGACTGATAAATTCTGAATGATGGTGGTGTATGCAGGGGATACTACAGGTGCAGCAGCAAGAAGGACTGCCCGGCGAGGAAGCACGTGGAGCGGTGCCGCAGCGACGCCGCCATGCTGATCGTCACCTACGAGAACGACCACAACCACGCGCAGCCGCTCGACCCCTCCGTGCTCACCACCGCCGCCAACGCGGAAGCCTGATGAGAGCCCATCGGACGGAGCCGGAGCCGGAGCCAACGTCGTGCAGGAGCGACAAATTCTTTTCTTTCCAAAACAAGATGTACAGTAGTGACAACTTGAGTGTGTTTCACTGTTTTCCGTTTCTCCGTGTCTGTTACTCTGTTTAGACGAAATTCATTCAGATGAAGGCCTCTAGTTTAATTTGTGCATGCCAAAGAGTGTAATCCTACTAGTTGATGTTTCATCTCGGCAAAGTACTGCACCCGTGTAATCCGCCATTCAGAATTCACGTGTGACCAGCTCGTTTCGGCATACCTGCTGGCTGATCTTTCTGCCAATCTCCTGTGGATGCGAGGCACGAGGGCTCGAGAAAACGAACGGACGTCGCCTGCTGAATAATTACAGATTCTTCAGTTCCAGCAGCTCACACGAGTGATTTTCTTAATTCCCGAAATCCGAGACGCCAGCGTTTCCATCACCGCGCACGCTCGATCCATGATTCAGTTCTGAACGATCATGCTGTTGGTTCGTCGTTGCAGTTGCAGAGCGGACGACGCACGTGATTCGGTCCAGTTAAGCAACTGTCAGCTGCTAATCTGGCTGGCAGGATCGTTAGGGCATTAAATGCGCCCCCACGATGAGCGCCGATGATTAGTGGCGCCAAGCATGTGCTTGCCCCAGGCCCCGTGCCATGGATCTTACTGACGCTCTAATCCTGATTTTGTTCAGGAGAGGCCGAGCTGGCACACCATTATTTTCCACATAGCCTGGTGAGATCATTATTGATGGTCATTTGCAGGGCTTATGTATGGATGGATCGTATTGTTTTTTTTAGCAAATCTTGGCAGAGACTTGAGATCCATGTTTAATGATTAATGAATAAGAATGGTAATTCCGAGCTATAAATCTATAATAAGGCTGTCAGACACCTGTTCAACTTGTTCTTCAGTCACAGCTTAGTTGCTCTGTACAATGCAGCACCGCGAATCTTCTAATAAATTTGAGGTGGGATATCTCTTTTTTTTTCTTTCAGTGCAATAAGAAGATTGCATTTTACTCACAATTTGGTGACTCCAATAGTTCAGTTACTGACAGCAAACACTACTATTTCAACTCAAGGAGTCAAGGCTGAGTACCTCTTCATCGGAAAACATGGCCGAGTATTTGTGGAGGCTCTGCAGCATTGTTTGTTTTTTATGGGGACCGACGATGCCAACTGCAATGCTAAAAAGCTAGGTTAGAATGATAAGAGTTGCCTTATTGAACAAATCGAATTCAACTGTAATTTAGTCTTTGTCACTAATTGTAAAAGGCAGGAGTCCACGCGGTTAGCTGCCTAGAGAAATAAACATATTTCACTGGCATGGTAGAGTTTGACAAACGAGGGAAACAAATATTAATTTGATTGGAAACACTTAGACGCGGGCATCCGTCCGGTCGGACCTGGCTTCTCACTTTGCTTTGCCCGTCTCTCTAAAAAAAACTGTCTCACTCGCCTCTCTCATAAAAAAAAATTCTCGACTCCGCCTCACGCCGCGACCCACTCGGTGCGCCGCCGCCATCACCCCCACGGTGCCTCTGTCCCCCGTAGAGAGGAGGAATCCTTCGCCAGGTACGCTGCTAGCCGCCCCACTGACTGCAGCTGCTGCTGGACCCGGTCTCCAGCGCCTCGCCTTCCGCCTCCAAGCTCCATGCGCGTGGTCGGCGACTGCAGCGGCGCCTGCGTCACCGCCGCGCCATGCCGTGCTCAGTCCTCCGTCGCGCCCTGGCTAGACACCAGGAGAGGGGGCCATCGCTGGCCGGCCCCAGGCCAGGCGCAGGCGCACTTAGCCACTGCCAGGCCGCGCCACCATCCTCGGCCGCCGGTAGCCGGAACCGGCCATCCCCGCTCTGCTCTGCGCCGCACGGAAGAAGGGTGAAAACGCATGTTGCAAGTGTACATTTAAAGTGTTTCAGATGTTTTATAGGTATGTTGCAAGTGTTTCAGATGGACGCTGCAAAAGTAGATCAGGATTTTGCATATGTTGCAATGGTTGTATACGTATGTTGCAAGTTTCTGTTCTCAATGTTTTATTTTTCCAACTTATGTTGCAAGTGTGTTTATCTGGATATTGCATATGTTTTTACACATATGTTGCAAATGTTTTATCTGGATGTTGCATATGCCTTGTAATAGTTTCAAGTATTTTTGCAAGTGTTTCAGACATATGTTTCAAATATTGCATTTGTCTTCAGACGTATATTCCAATTGTTACATCTAGATGTTTTAAAACTAGATCGGATGTTGCATCTTCCTCCTCATGTTCTGCCGCTACCTCGCCTCAGTGTCAGACGTGGTAAGCGAGGGCAGGTGGAGGTGGTCCCCGCTGGTGCGGGCATGCGGCCGTATGTAGCATGTGCAGCAGTAGCCGTCGTGGGCTAGGAGGCGGCGTGGGTGAGAGCGGCAGGCGAGGCGTGGGCGGGTAGGCGCAGTGACGCGGGTGCGGCAGGCTAAGGCAGGTGTAGCGGCACGGACATCCGGACATCCGGGCGCTAACCACGGCCTAATTTGATTTCTACGCCCTAATTTGATTGCTGATTTGTCCTTTTAGTATAGATAGATTATTAAAACTAGTATGTTCTTACTATGCTATTATGCTGAGGAACAGGCGGTAGCAGCGTAGCTGTAGTAGGGTCTACATATAACTAGTGTTGTTCGCCATTTTTTAAGAAAAATTGAATGTCCAAAGTCTTTGATGAGTCAACAAAAGCATATTAAGGCTATGTTTCTGTAGGGTCTGTTTGGTTGGGGTTTTGGCTTAGCCAAAGCCAAAAGCCCAACCAAAGATACTGTTTTTGAGGCGTCTTTTCCAGAAGCAGCTGTTTTTTCGTAATACATTTTTGAAAGCTGGTTTGACCCTGCTTTTGACTTTTAGCTTTCTGCTTTTCGAAATTGATGGAATAAAAAACTCTTTCATAGTTGTTTCAAGAGAGATAAAGATAGAAAGTATATTTTATACTTGTTTAACCAAACAGCTTTAAGCTTTTCTACAGCTCACCGCCGACAACAGCTTTTTCCCACAGCCACAGCTCAACCAAACACACCCGTAGCCACTCTTCATGGCACCATGGTCTCCTGCAGCTCCTGGCGCGCGGCGCCTCAGCGTGTCGGGCTGGCTTGATCTAGAGAGCATGGTGGCGCTGAACTGATCACTGGCAGGGCGAGAGGCATCGGGGCATGCATGGCGTGACTCTTTCACGAAGCGCACGCGCGTTGTGGTGGCGGACATCGCCGGCTTCTCTTCACCGAACGGTCGAGGACGACGTCCCGGCAGCCGTGGGCCGTGGACCATAACGTGGCGCGGTTCGGGTCACTGGAGACCGGCCTGATGACTGGGACCGACTCGTCCCTAAATCCGATCCGTCGGTCGCGTCGTAGTCCTCCGCGCCCTCGCTCCGATCAGACCCGGCCGAGCCCACCGGGAACCTGAGGTGCCGCGTCGTCAGGAATCAGGATTGCTTGGAAACTAATCCGGGCCTCGTACGAAACAGAGCGACGTACTAGATCAAAAGTGGACCACTTCAGGCCCAATACACGAAACGGGCGGAGGGACTATATAAAAGTGCTTGACCTCCATCATATATCCATCTACAACACGATCGATCTACAATGGCTGACGAGGAAAAACGACCCGACTGGTCCAACCTCCCCACCGATCTCCTGGAGAACATCGGGAGGAGGACCCGCGACGCCGTCACCGGCCTGGCCGCGTTCCGCTCCGTCTGCCGGGCATGGCGCGCTGCGGTAGGGCCAGCGCCGCGCCTGCTGCTTCCCCGTGCGGGGCCGTCAGAGGACGCGCTCGTCTTCCCCTTGTCGCGCGGCTGGTCCATAGTCGTCGACGCCCGCGACGCGTCCTGCCGCCTCTCGCACCTGGCCACGGGCGCGACGGCTGCCCTGCCCAGGCTCAACGCCGTCCGCCACGCCGGCAGCGACGTTGTCACGCACCTGACATACCTGCGCCGCCCCGACTTCCACACGGCGGTACGCACCTGGATCTTGTGCACAAACTACCTCCAATTCACGGATTTCTTCCGCTTCGCCGTCCATGTCCCACCCGGCGCTCCTCCGACGACGGCGGCGGCGGCGGCGAGCATGACGATCATGATGTCCCACATGATGCTGGTGCCACCGGGAGCGGGTATGTTATGCTGCCGCCCCGGAGACGCGGCTTGGACCTTGGTGAACACGCCCGTCCCAGTAAACCTCGGCTACTTCGACTTAGCCTACCACGACGGCAAGATGTTCGGCTTCGACGGCCAGATGACGGTGTTCGACGCCACGACGCTCCACGCCCTCTGCATCGTGCAGCCTCCACCAGCGACGCCCAACCTTGCCAACAAGATGTACGGCATCTGTACCCAGAAGGAAGAGTTCAATTTCGTCCACCTCGTTGCGTTGCCGAGCAAGCTGGTTTTGGTCAGGACTAGCGTCAAGTCTTCACGGCCGGTGGCCTTCGACGTCTTCGAGTTAGGCTCGACGCCTGACGGGCTCGCTTGGCTCAAGGTGAGAGACGCTGGCGACTACGAACTGTTCCTGGATGGATATCACACCACCTTTAGGGAAAATAATGGCGTCAACGGCGGCGGTACTCGGATCTACTATGTTCATGACGTTGCTACAGCAGACCTTTTTTACGACGAGCTCCGGGTTCCTCCTGCGGCCTACTGCTACAGCATGCAGGATAACAAACTGGAGTGCATCTACGTGCCGCCGGAGGATATTCATCGATGCTCAACTAAGCCTAGTTGGTTTGTTCCCTAGCTAGCTTTCTAGTAGTCCTCTCTTAGATTAGATTAGATTAGATTAAATATATATAGGGTATTTAGTGTTTCCCGATGTTTCTCTTCCTCAACAACAGGTGTTTTCGGTTTTACAAATTTACTGGAAAAATATGCCCATAATAATTACTACTATGGACAAAGGCCACATGGATATATCTTGTATTTCACTTTTTTCTAAAAAGCATATGCCTAGAATGTGTCTTTGGTTCAGGCGACGACGTGATCGTTTGATCTCGCTTCGAAATTCATACATCATTGTGTCAATTTAGATCATAGTTTTTTAGTTGTCTTACTATAGAATTGTTTATTTTTAATTGTCTTTGTGTCTTAGATCATAATTTTGTAATTGTCTTACTATAGAAAGAATTCCTTATTGTTAGTTTCCTTTGTGCGAATTTAGATCCGTCAGATCTTCATCTATGGCTCACAGCCATTGTTCAGATGCCTGAACAGATGCTATTTTCAGGTGGAAAATAGCAAATCCCTTTGTATTTAGAATAAAGAATGAAATATTCTCGTTTACATTTAGTATAAAAGTTTTAGTATAATAGATGCAAATAATGAAGGTTCTCTTTTTACATTTAGTATAAAAGTTCTAGTACAATAGATTCTTGAGCACCTAGCTACTATTGTAGAATATTGAGTATACTTCTTCACTAGAAAATAGCGATAGTATCTGCTTTGATCTTTTCTAAGCAGAGATAGAACAGAATGACATAATAAATAAGGCGCTTATTACTATGGGGAAGTTAACGCGCGACGCGTCGCACTGTCGAGCGAGCACGCACCCCGCCGCAACACGGTAGAGTCTTGCTGGAGCTCCGCGGCCTCCTTCTTCCCCTTCGCCCTCCCGCCGCCGCCATGGCCATATTGTCGTCCCCGCTCCGACCTGGCCCGGCCGCCTCCTCCGCCGCCGAAACCCTAACTGCTGCCCTCCTGATGTTGGGGAAGAAGAAAGAGAGAGTCGGATTGAGAGGGTGTTGAACTCGCCACCACCACCGGAGCCCTAGCCGCCGCCGTCTTCTTCTTCGTTGGCGCTGGCACGGGCGAGTGGGACACGGGCGCGTTGACGCGGGTGGGTGGGAGCGGGTCGCGCTGTCACGCTCCAGCCCGACGATCACGTAGTAGAGTTTCCATATTACTACCTACTCTTGATGATTTAGTACACTCCCACTCTTTCTTGTGTTGGGTGGATCATGTTACCTCCACTCTAACCATAACAAACTAGTATTATAATATAATTTTGATCATTGAATCGTTTATTTCTCTTAGAGATAAATGCACTGTAGGTCTATTAATTTTTGATGGTGTGTCATATAGGTCCATCAACTCTTAAACTACATTTTTGAGCCCTCAAGCTTTTTAATTGGTTCACCGAAGATCCATACCCCTTCGTTTGGTGTTTAGATTTGACGTGACATGTACACTCAGCAGCGAAGGTGACGTGTAAATTATAATTAGCCCCTTTCTTGCTTTTTTCCTCTTTCATGTTCAGCCACTGCACGAGCACGACGCACACCAACCCAGTCGCCACGCCCACCGCTCAGCAAGGCTGGCTTCTTGCCGTTGACGCGCGCGCCCACCACCGCGAGCCTGCCACCTCCGCGAGACCGCCCTGCTGACGCATGCCCGCCGCTGCGACCCTGCTGATGCGCACGCGCCGTCATGTGCTGGGCTTGCACCTCCACGGCCTCATCACCCCGTCTCTCTCTCTCTCTTCGACCTCTAGCGCCACCATCTGCCCATCTGCTCATCCGCGCACGCCGTCACCGTCGTCGTGCGATCCGCTCGCCACGCTGCTCGAGACACCATCACCGCACCCTGCTCGCAGTGCCGCCGCCACGGGTGCCATCGTCGTGGCCGCGCGCCTTTTGCACCTACTCAGGCATGTTGTTGCAGCAGCCGCACGCCTTGCTCGCCTTGCACCCACTCCCGTACGACCGCCCACCATGCACGCTGATGCACCGCTCACACAACTCACAGCGCACCCACTCGCGTGTCCCGTCGTCTGCGCACACCGTTCAACGTTGCCGCGACAACGGCACGCTCTCGCAGCGCACCCGCGAGCTTGGCCGGGCTGGCCGGGACAGCGCGGAGGCTGAACCAGACGAGCGCAAGGCGCTTCAACGAGTTCGTGGCCGCGAAAAGGTCGCCATGCTGCTCCACGAGGGCGGTGGCAGGTATACCTCCACCTCCATGGCGCCCCTCGCCACAGCGAACGCGACCCACCCGACGACGTCCCAGGCCGCGGCTCGAGTTCGCTCGCAGCGGTCGGGCCCGAGGCTTGAGCCTCGCCCGGTCTTGGCGTCCGCGACGATTGCTCACGAACTTGCTTGGCTTGGGGCTCGTTCGTTGCTGACGGCCACACCACCCTTGCTCGTCGTCGGTGTTGGTGCTCCTCGCAGCCCTGTCCATGGCAGTGGCTGGGCTCCTCCACACACGCACTGTCCAAGTCGCCCAGGGATTCGAGGAGAGGATCCGAACTGTGGGTGAAGTGGGAGAGGGAGAAAAGGAGAGGGTGATATCCGTTAAAAAAGGGCCACTCAGCGATGTGCCACACTGGATGCTTACATGGCTTGCCACATCCCGAATGAAGGGTATGGACTTTCATTGAGCCACTTAAAATATTTAAGTACTCAAAAATACAGTTTGGAAGTTGATGGACTTATATGACACACCACCAAAAGTTAATGGACCTATGATGTATTTATCTCTTTATCTTCTTACAAAATTGGACTGGTTCCTATTCTCTACATATATTACTACCCTATTGTATTATATTATTACTCCTAAACAGTGGCAGAGCGATTTAAACATAGGAGGGGTCGTTCGAACCGATGACAATTATGCATGACGAAATGTATATACAATCAAAGTATACATAATAACCAAATAAATATTTTGCGTTATAATACAAAAGAAAGCTAAAAACTAGAAAAAGAACAAAATATTTTGACAAAATTAATTAGCACCAAGTCTCTAACGCTCATATGATGATCAATCTAATTCTTGGGTAGAAAAAGAATCATGGTAATAACAGGAGGACTAATTCCAAATAATATTGGTGTTATCGGAGAGTAATTCAGAAGGAGAGTAAACAAGAAAGCACTAATCATATTTAATTTGACTAGCTAATTAGGGCATCTTTGGAAGGCAGGAATTCCATAGGAATTTCACAGGATTCAATTCATTTATCGTAGAAAAAATGCAGGAACGGAAAAAAAAATCCCGCGTTTCAAAGGGGGCCTTAGAGGGTTATTGTGGGAACAAAAGAGAGAGAGAAAACAACTTTTTAATTATATAAGATGCTATAAGAGATTAATATGAAAGAGGACAAGAAATCAAAGTATAAATAACATCATTAAGACACGACCAGGAGTGTTTACAGGATCCAAGTCATGGGAGACTATAACAAACCAAGATTCACCGTGTTTGGAAGGCCAAAGCAGAACCAAATTAAAATGCCGGTTCTTTGCATGGACTTTGACGCCTCTTTTGTACATTTTGCAATTAATTAACATCCTCGTGGATTTTGTTGACGCTCAAAAATCTGAGCATCAACCATTTTGCTATTTTACTTGGAAAACCAGGAGAGTGGAGTTGCAATGGCGCTGAGAGACCTGCCCCCCAACTGCTGCGGCAGTGCTAGCTCTTCAGAAAGTAAACAATTGTGGCAGTGCTGTGCCAGACAACAATTGTGGCAGTCAAGGTGTTCCCTTGATAATACATACCAGCTAGCTGCAATCCTTCAGATATATACCACCACAGCCAGCAAAAATATCAAGAGTTACAAGAGAGTTGTCTGATGGTATATCCTTCTTTTTTTATCTGAACCAGATAGCTCATCATCACGAATTTGCTTTCCTTTATTCTTGTTGGAAACACAAGTACCTTCCTTATCAGTGACATGGGTTTAGCCTTGGGTCATTGGGTGGAAGCTGGTTCAAGATCATTCAAAGATAAGCTCAGTTTATCATCTCAAGAAATGAAAGCTGATCTGGCCCAAACACAACGGCCCAACAAGACAAACAATGCTGCACCACTGACAGAAGCCAAGCCCAGACTTCGGCCATTGCCATGTACACGTACTGAACCATTACCTGCATTCTTCTTCCCTGCTCGTCTCTTCATTAACTTCTCCACGGATCTCTTGCTCATGACATAGAACCTCTCTGATATTTGACGTATAGGCTAATAGGCTTTTGTTGATGACATGTCATCAAGCCTGTAAAACCCTCTTACATTGACTTTTGTCAATTGTAGATGCGCTTTGTTAGATCCATTAGAGCTCGGATACTCAACACATGTCATACAGATACACCGTATCAAGTCCGAATCCATTTAGAGGATCAGTTGAGATCTGTTCGTATCCAAGTTTGAATATTCAACATCCGATACTGTATCCATATATGAACACTCAAATCCCATATTTATGATGTCGATATCCATTCGTATCCTATCCAACGTGACTAATACTATCATGTTCGAATCTGAACCCAAATAGAAATACGAAAACATATGTAATAGCAGTGATATTCGTCCGTATCCGATCCATTTGCACCCCTACTGAATTCATCACCAACTAGCATCACCTACGTAATAGAGTACTGGACATTGACGGTCATCAATTCTTTGATGTCACCTAATTAGAATGCTAGACATCATTAGTCTAGAAAACATCAGTTTCATTTGCAGTACTGCCGAGAACAATCTGAAAACCTTTTTTTAAGAATTCTTCAGTGAATTTTCTTGTACATGTTTTACATATACTCAACAAAACACATGATGCCTTCTCCATGAATCATCTTCCAATGTCACTGATTGACCAACACCAATACTAAGATCTCGAAGTCTAGCACATTTGTACATATAATAGAACTTCACTTGACACTGTTTTTTGCAGCTGTTTGCCCTTTCCATTTCAATGGTGACTTACTAGACCGTGCTGTGCTGATGGCCGCGTCCTCGCAGCATGTCCCA